ACGCTACAGAAAAATATCAAGCTTTATAAATAATATCTAAGATCTATCGCTATCATACAATGAGTTGATGAGCCAGATGATCATGCGATCATAGTCTTTTCAAAACACAGAGAGCAGAAATAGTCGTACATAAGAGTGCGTTTCTGATATCAATATTATATGAATGGTACATAATAATAAGAAGAGATAAATCTATCAATATCTCTATGTTGGGTATATGGATTAAGAGGCTAATGTTGAAGTTCATATAGGAAAGAAGAAAGCAGATAATTGTTGTATATGAAGAGGAAGAGAAAGAAAGAAGAGGAAAAGTATACAATCATAGATTGTCATAATACCAAATATCTATAGTTTGAAACTTAAATTTAACAGCCTACCCTTCCGTTCAATTATTCGAGTATTCGTATACTTGCGAGTGAGTAAAAGGGTTCTGAAGGGACATCATTTCAGTGAGGATGAACAGAAGAGTTTTGAAAGCAGTCGACTATTCGAATAATTGAAAAAAAGACTGCAAAAATAGTTGAATAGTTGAGTCGAAATTTCGAGTTTCGCATTACTAAAAGACGCAAGTGTAACGATAATGATATCGTTCATCTCTTTCTGTTCTTTATCCTCTCATCTCTATATCATACTATCTCCGGGTCATCTCTCTCTTTCCTCTTCTCTATATAAGCGCGTGTCTTATTGTGAAAGAGATACATTCTGGTCATGTAGAGTAGTCAATAAACATCTATACCGTGAGAAGCGGTCAGCTACTCAACCAGTTTGTCATTACAGCAAGGATCATAGTAGCTATTCATAGCGGACTGCTGTTTCGTGTGTGAAAAATGATCATGAATAATGGACATTACATAAATAACAAGAACGATGACAGTTTTTTTATTAGTTTTGAAAAAGGTTGAAATTGACGAGGACCGTTCTCGAGACATTATTTGGAAGCGCAAGTTTTATCTGAAGTATAACCCAATCAGTCGAGGGTAATGCGAGTCTCCCTCGACGAGCGTTATTTTATACATAGACACCCCCACACCCTTGTGAGTTTAGCAATAGAAATAGATTCAGTTTTAGTTATACACATATGCCCCCAGACCCCTTTGAGTTTAGCAATGGAAATAGATTTAGTTTTACCTATACGTAGACACCCCCACACCGACACCCTGGAGCACGAACTGAAGTGAAACTCCTAACGGCGCCGACATATCGGATGCAAACGACGGTTAACCATCAGACGAATTCAGTCATCTAGAAGTTCTTCATTGTTTTCTGTTGTCTGTAACTTGATGGTGATCATTGAGTAGGAGAATATTTAAATAGATGTGCATTTTGCGTTCACCGTTACCCATACCTTTCTTTACTCTGGATTACTGGCCTCCGTATAAATCGCAGTTAATTTTCGAGGGATGAATATTGCACCAACAACTTTACAAAGATCTCTGTCAAGAACAATCATGTACACTCGAATAACCGTTGCACATAGTGACCATACTAACAAACCCAAGGACACATATCAAAAGATGTTTGCAAGTGTGGAGAGATCTTTGCCACTGACTTTTAAATCGCTTGAGTTTTCAATGTGAAACATCTGGTTGACGAAGAAACAAACTACTGATTTTATAAATCACAACAAAAAGAAAGAAGGACAGATGTTGACAAGTCAAATAAAACTATATACAGTAGCTGCAGTTGAAAGAAGGACTTTTTCGTCAGAGAAAGGAAAGCAATATATTTGTATTTGATAAAACTTGTAGTTCACATCAACAAATGCACTAGAGCGCTCGATGAGTGCAGATCGTGCACACATGTACGAATATCAGACAGAACAAAAATGAATAAATATAATATTCACAATAGGGATTGATGAACGATGAGTGTAAGGTATATATAAATGAATAGTTTAACAGAGGAGCTTACGGAAGCTCCGAAAATCTTTCTAAAGGCTCTCGAATAAAAAAAACAGGATTTTTTCTTATGTTTATGAGCGTTTAGACGTCATTCAACAACCCTTACTTGAACTCAATATTTCTCCATGCGCATATTAATATATCATTCTCACTCAATGAGTCAGTGTATTCATTTTTCTTGCTTGGATGACGAATGGTTTTTATCTATAGTTCGTTTCTTATCTTCTCACTTGTTGAAATAGAAGAAATGAAATCTGCTCTCTGATTTCTTACGTTGTCGTTTCCTTTCGTCAAACTCATGTCCAGTCCGAAATATTCCACGATTGAAATCCTTCCAAATGAATTATGGTTGAACATATTTCAATATTTTAATACGGATGATCTTTTCCGCACATTTTTCAAACTTAACAAACGAATCGATAATCTTGTAACCAGTGAGAACAATCTGCATTTAACTTTAAATAACAACTTCGATTATGAACGGTGTATGGACATAATCCTAAACTCAATCAAATCGCTTTCACAGGTGAAATCATTGACATTACAGTATTCTACGCTATTGGAAAAATTCTATGCAATTTATCCAATCACCCACTTTACTCAACTGCATACTCTGCATCTTCTTTCTTCAATCAAACTCGATATATTTCGTGATATCCTATGTTTGACAACATTGAAGTCACTCAGTCTTGTCTACAATAGTGTTCAAAGCTTCGAGACTCAATGGGAGACCTTGTGCAATGAAGGATCAAATTTAGCTTTAACGCTAATCGATTTCGCTGTTAGACTTGACTTTAGTGAAGTGGTACAATTGAATACTGAATCGGTCGCTCAACCAAACATGATCGAAAGATTTACCATGCAGTTCTTTTCGAATCGGCGTTCGACGCTAATACTTCCATTTTTCGCACAAACACAATTTTTGATATTCGGTCACTTACCTTCGAGAACACAAAGTTGCCTCGTTTTAAACCGTTGTATCAAGATAAAACTCGATTTATGTAAAGATGTTACTCACGAACAAATTCAATCAATTTTAAAGTTAGTACCACAATTAAAATACTTGATAGTTTTACAAACAGATTACTCAGTACAAGCAGCTGGCAGAGTATGGCAACATTTATTGGAAAATACATGCAAAAATGTTCTTATATTTAATTTGACAATTAGATTTACAAAAGGATATGGTTGTCCCGAATATCCATTATCTTATTGGAATCAAAACAGTTTTCGAACGATATATTGGGTCGAGAGAAAAACCAGAAGTAGATTTCGTGATCACGCTTTTCCAGGATTCACCGCTTGTTTCGATATAAGAAAAAAATGATCGAAATCAAATATCAATTTGGAGAATGTGGATGTTGTCTAATCTTTCATTGACAGTCACACTCATGCGATTAAATGGGACATAAAGAACCTCTTTTCGGCCGTTTCTTCTATAAAAACAAGAAATAAATTCACACCGATATCATCACCGTTTTCGGTGCATCTATCGATGTTGATATTGCATTTACTGTTAATTTTGAGAAAATTTGATATTTGTTGAATTGTCAGTACCACAAAGAAACCAAAAAAGAGGGATTTTTTTCAAGTTTATTTCCTAAGATTATCATTCGATGAATTAGTCCGATGCATCAATAAAGATCTTCAATAAGTTTGATTTTGTGCAAAGTAATCCAATTCCATAGTTTGCTCCATGAATGAAAGTATCACCATTGGATGTAGATTTAAATTCTGAATCGAATAAACTAACTTTCATGGACAGGACTTATTTATTAAAACATTTTTATCGAAATCTTTGTTTCGTCCTACTGGATTCACATTGACTTTTAGAAAACGAGGAATATTCCTTCTATAAGTAGAACAAATGAACTGTTTTTCTTGTCAATGATATACAAGTTTATCCGTTTTACCGAAACGGAATATATGAATATATAACGCATTTATATAATTGATTACATTTGTTCTCGATAAACTATAGTCTTCGATTAGTATACACTATCTTTCCGCATGTGAGCGTTGATGAAAAAAAAACAGTTCATTTACTTCAGGTACAGAAGGGATATCCATTTCTGGGGATAAAATAACTTCCGCACCATCCTGCATTTTCATTCTCAATATATTAGTTAAGACTAAATTCTACTTGCATTGAAAATGCATGAGAAATTAAAAATTTTTATATTGAAATTTTCTTTTAGTTGTGTAAAATAACGAAAATGATATTTTAGAAAAAAAAAGGAGCACAGGCAACCTCAAAGTTTCGTTATTTTAAAGCCATAAATGAACACGCTTTTCGCGGTGGTCAATACGAAATGAGTCGTTTTGTGCTAAATAACTGTGATCAGCAAACCTTCCGCGAATAGTTCGACTTCCATATTGTGATAGAGAACCTTTGATGCAAAGATAAATCAGTCCTTCTTCTCTGCATCTTTCTAGAGCTTGTGTTATAAGAGAGTCAATGGTATCTGTCGAATTTGTTGTACTCAGAACCAGATGACGAAGATTTGTAAATTTCTTAATAATTAAATCGAAATCAATTTTTTCATTGCCTCGTAGACGATGAATTTCAAGACGTACAATTCGTGTTTCTAAAAGATCATTGTTAATTAATCTATTGAAGCCGTCGAAATCGATTGATAAATCATTAAGATTAGGAGCCGCTTTGAGTATCGGAAATAATTCACATGGGCCGGTAATTTTCAGCCATTTTAAGTGAGGTAAGTGTAAAACAACTGATTGAATTGATTGTGAAGCAGTAGCTTCTATTGTGAGTGCTTGAATTCCATGTAAATGTTGCACAATCATCAGTATGTTATTAGACGGTAATGTTCGATCAACAATTAGATTTTTAACACTTCCCATGTATTTCCAAACGGGTAATATATTTTCAGCAATTATTGAAGGCAAAATCATTGAATTTATATTGAATGGAACTGTATGAGCAAGAGCGTATCGATCAGATCTTATCGTAAATCGTGTGCTTGAAATTTGACGTAATGGCCAGGTATCAAGTGAAGCATCGAGATCACCAGATGATTCGGAAAAATAATATAAAATGAAGAAATTAATCTGTATTGTTGACGAAGGAAGAATTACTGAGAGATTTTTTTTATTCACGAGACGATGATCGGTTGTACTTAAAAGCAACGTTAATTTTTGTAATGATGGCATTTTACATAAAATATCAGTGATTTCTTCGAATCCCCAAGACATTCCAATCGAACATAGTTTAAAATCATTTAAATGAGCCAATGGTGAGATATTCGCTAAATTTTCTGTTGATACAAATGGTGATTGTCCAGTATTGATATGTAGGCGACATAGATTTGGTAAAAGTGTGAATAGATCTGCTAACATCTCATGATCAATTAAATTAACGATCAATTCTTGAATATTTCCATAGAATAATGTTGTATTGGTTATACGCAAAGATAAGAAAATTGAATCTTGATCAAATCTTATGAATTTCAGTTGCTGATTGCGAGACAAAATTTGTTCAAGTATTTCGTCTTGTCGTTGTTCCAGAAGACATTTTATATTAAGTTTAACAAGTTTCGGAGTTTGTAACTTTTCGAGATATGTACATAGTTGTTCACCGGTAAAATATTCCAATGTTAATGTGTGTAGATTTGGAAATATTAATGATAAATTTGAATCGAATTTTACCGAGTGAATTTCATTTGCTAGAAAACTTAACCAATTTCCATTGATTACCATCGACCGGATATTTGAACCGATATTCGATAAAATATATTTGAATTGTTTATATGTCGCTGTATTGAGATTGAAATTATCACAAAACTCGTTTATGATCCTATTGAGACGAGTATTGAGATTGAAAAACGAATAAACAATATCGATATGGTGAAGATATTCATAGATGTTTAATAAGATTTCATCCGGCAATATTTCAAAAGCCGAACATCTGTTCATGTAAAATAAAGACATAGACAGAAATCGGCTCTTTCTTACGCGGCAAGGATTTATTATGATTAGAAAAAAAAATATCAACTATATTTGTGCACAACAAGAATAAAAGTAAGAAAAATACGAGGCGAGTCACCTGTGCTGTGACATTGACCACGTTTTTTCTCGTTCTATAAAAAATCGTATTGAGATTCTTTGAAGTGTAAGGAACGAAGTCGATTGATTTTCTTTTTAATGTTTACACGAGCGCAATGACGTTTAAGAACCTGAAATTCAAAATATGGGAAATACTCAGTTAAATATGAATGTATAATTTTTTTCTCGTAATATGAGCCTCAAAGAACAATACACCTTCACCCTAGACAGGACTTACCGCCATCTACGTATAAAGCCATCGTTTCAGATGATCCCGAGAATTAAAGGAATAGTTTTAGATTATATTTCTTATATTCCTGATTATATCTTTTACAATATTTTTGTTTCTCGATGAAACATTGGTCATATAGAAACTACAATTTTTTGTAACTTAAGAAATAGGATAATTTTCCAGAGACTATTTATTATATGTGTTATTTTCAAGCCAAACACAATGTTGATGGAAAATATCTGCAAGTGCTCTATCAAGACTTGACAGAATATGAAGTTCGACAAGGTTTTCATATAACATTTGATGATAAATCAGAATTAATTATATATTGTCCACGCTCACGTGCGATTCAGACGAGAGACCGGCGAGCTAAATGATTTGTCCCGCGATCAATTTTTTTTTGCTTAATACTATTTAATCATATGCGTCTTGATCCCGACAAATTCCAGGTGATTCATTAACGTTTTGGAAACAACATGATAAAACGTTTCCAGTACCGTCCATTCTTGCAACAGCTGCTTTGGTGATCGTAGACAAACCATAAATAAATGTCGAATCAATCTTTCTCTATCGCAAGTGGATAATATTTTATTTTATTCGTTCAATTTTATTAGATGGTCATCATGTGCTGAGCTGAACTGAACTCTGTTCATTTGAATTTGTTTGCTCAAATAGATTATTTATTTTAAAAAAATTTGTAGAGTTTTTCAGGCGCGGGACACGGGACGAGACGAAAATATTGTCGTCCTGCCGGTATCTATGCTCTTCTACTAGTAGCTCGGCACCTTTCAACATGATTAGCGTTTCAAAATGAACAACGAACCATCACTTAAGCTGATGTTATTATATAATGGATAAGCTCCATATTAAAAACGAACAAAAAAGACCTAATTTATTTTAAATTTTTCCGATATCCAACACGATTTATTTCTACACAAATACTATCAATTTGAAATTCTACGTTGTCAACTACTAAATATACGGATGATTTAATATTATACAGTATTAAATCAAATAGAAACCAAAACAGTATGCTAATCTTATCGTTCATCGTGTATGTGATCATCTTCGTCAAACTTCAGTAAGCTATAGTCGACTTATCACCGTTCTTGAAAGCAATCCTAATCTCAAAGAGCAACACTAAACGTAACTATATTCGTCCTCGAATGACAAATACAAGATAGGCTCAAACATTTTCCTAATGCAATTTCTTAACTACTTATATTAATAAGTGAAGCTCTAATTAATTACTTCATACAACTTTAGTCAACAACAACTCATAATCACGGTAATTTAACTCCTTCACTCTCACCCGCACCCTTTCCTTCAGTAAACAGTCGGTTGTTCAACAAATCCAATTTCATCATTTCCAAATGTGGCTCTCAACATTCGTGGTGCAGCATTTAAGTCAATATTTTCACAATATATATTTATTTAGAGTGATACATCAAATAATGACGTATGTGCTACAGTGAAATTTTTATGATAAAAGTTTATAGTGTTAGGTAGTTATTTTCTTTACTGGTATTATCCAATTCTTGATATTGTTAATGAACAGATCTGTTTTGCTTAATCAATTTCATATTTTATTTTTTGCGCGAGATGTTTGATTTAAGGCGGTTAACTGATTGTCTCTGTACAACTCCAACACTATTATCTCGTCGTAAACGACGATATCCTTGTATAATCCATCGAGTTAATTCAGGAAAAAAGCCAAGCCACATCCATGGAAGGCAAAAATAGATAATATAAATCAGATCACCAAAGTAATTCTGTTGAATATAATTAAGAAAAGTTGGATCAATAAGAACATTGATAATATAAACTGTAAGAAACGGTCCCCATCCTATTAAATAAAGCCCTGAAACAGAAAATAGTTGTATTAACATCCGTTGTTGATGTCGCCAATTTGTTGATTGTTGCATACGACGTTTCTGTGTAAATACTCGTGCAATCAAAACTGCATTCGATATAATATCAATAAAAACCGGTAAACTGTTATTAACCACAAGATCGAATGAGCCAAGAGAACTTCCATACGCTAAATAACAATTAGCAAAGCCACATACTCGACTAGTAAAATCCCATTGAGTATCATCACATGGATACAAAAGAATTGCATAGATATAGAATATCGTTGGATAAATAATACAAAATAGAAGTGGAAAATGATGTAATAGATGACGTATCCAACATTTTCGCAAAATATTTTGATAAAAAATAAATATATGTCGTTGAAGAGATATAATTGCTAATAAATATTCACTTGATGCATAGATTATATACTCAAAAAATGTCCACCATATACAATAACTTGCAACAGGTGGATTTACGTAACCACGAATGTAAAAACTAAGACTAAGTGGAATATCAAATACAAGCTGAAGAGAATTTATGATAAGTAAAACAAGTAATCCATGATTTTGTGCAGCTCGAATATGAGTACGATGTTTAGTAAAATAAATAAAGATAAGAATAGAAACTATGATTGATGATATTTGTAATAAAAGTAATATTGTAAATTTGATGCGATAAAAAATAAATTTACTTTTTCCGATGGTTTCTAACTCGGAGACATTCATTTTTAAGAATG